TTATGAAGGCAGGCGATAGACCACAGTAGCATTAAGTAACATTAGTAACATTAGTAACATTAGTAAGGCCCGTCACTCTGTCACCATTAGAAGTCACGGATATTTCCACTTCATTGCAATACTTATCAGGGGCGTTGCTAGGAATTCTGGGCACAGAAAAAATGTCACTCTGCCCAGTCATGCGCAATTCCAGGTCCCCTGTAAAGTCCTGGGTCCCCTGAATCTGCCAGGGTATCGATGCCCCTACTGCACCCTGGGGTGTTGCAGATATCTTAACCTTGCTATCGTGTTCGGGTCGGCACCGACCCGTTTGTGAGTTTACAATGCATAAAAGCACCACAAAAATTTGTGTACTGCATCGAGGCTTTTTGACTTTGTCAGGAACCTCTATTTAAACAAAACAAATTTAAACATTTTTTTTCACTAGGCAAGGCATGACCATAGATGTAAGGCAAGATAAGACCAATTCTGTTTATTTATATAATTCTCTTGAGGTTTATTTTACCATTATTTTTTTTACTGAAAACGAGAGGTATGCTGTCAAAAGAAAGGTCCAGAAAGCCACACCAAAAATATTAAAACCAATCTTTTCATGGATAAGGAAGCCTAACAAGGTAACCAAGAGGTAAGAAACAAATTGGATGATAAATAATTGTTTTGAGGGCATTTTATGGCTGATTTAAGACACACCAACTCATTTAACATAGATAGGAACAGAAAGCTAACATAGGACTAAGGTAATATGACTAAGGGGTTCCTGAAAAACCTTTCGTTCACTAAACTCGCATACTGAAATGTACGTAAAGGGTTGAGGAATGAGACCCCAAAACTGAGTGACTTACTCCAAGCTAAATGAATTTAATAATAATAATAACAGTGATACCAGTGGCCAATAATGTAAATATATGCATTTTAAATAACAAATAAGAATCATACATTAATAAATTATATCATAAACATCTCCTATGGGTCTCATAAGTCTCACATGAATTGCCTAGTAACGATTTCAACTGAACGTGTTGAACTCTCTAACATGTCACTTGCTGAGTCGGGAGTAGTCATAGCCAAAATGCCGCATCATGAACCATTCAGTATATTTTTTACGCTGCTATATGGTGTTCTTTGGGGCATGGTTGGAGCCCTATTTCGAACAGAGAGCACCATCTAGCATGGTCAGAAAATATAGGAAATGGTTCAAGAAGATTTGAAAACTGTTTCGACCAAATTAACTGAAAAGAACTGGCTCAAAAGAGCAACATGTTCACGAATCGAAAATCACTATCGTTCACTTGGATAGCTGTCTTGTGCAAGCAGTGTTTCTCGCTAAGACCATATCGCATTGTAGTGCGCGTGGTGCTTTTCTCTCCAACTGAAAATCCAAATACAAATGTGATTCCATGTTTGTATCGGATTTGGTTACTATTATATCAATAGCGTTAGAACAGATTTGTGGCGTGATATCACACGATGTAGCAGGAATGACTACTACAGAAGTCATAAATGGTACATCTACTGAGATAATTATTCGTTATCTTGGTAGAATGACATAGTAAATACTTATAAGTACGACAGTGTGGGAGTTTCACGTTTTCTGTGTGACCCAGGGTGGGAGACACTGTGCCAGTTGTTGAGGGGGGAAAGGAGAAAAAGGGGGCAAAAAGGAGGCAACCCATCAGTGGTCCAAACAGGGGGGTGGCCTGCCGAAATCCAGAAGAGTGGTCGCCCTAGTCAGAGGGCATCTCTCGACTATCAAAGGGGTTCACAACCCAATGCTGAAGGGGCCCTGCTGCAAAAACGCTGCATCCACTGTGGAGACTGAGCATGTGCATGAGGGAAAAACACTCAGTCCGTACAGATGCACCTTTTCTTTGTGCTTTCGATTAAAAAAAGAAAACCTTCACAGTTTGCGTGCTGCCATCGCTATCAGTCTGATTACGCGTGTCTCTTTTCTTTACCGTTTGGGAGATAACAAGCTGTACTTGTACGTTCTCAGGCTACGGAAGAGGAACACGCGTGGCAAATAGTCTTGGGGAGATGAGTAATCTTTTTACACTGGGTGGCACATTCAGATCATCCAGGAAAATACAGAAGTCCATTACCTCAGCAACAAACAGCTAATTTGACCTGATCCAATAACACGGGTAGATTTGTCGTGGGCCCGTCTTCCTTAAAGGGCCGTAGGATAGAGTCATTAAAACGGCGTTATCTGCTTCAGATAGCATTGCTATGTCTGTAAAGATCATTATTTTTGCCCCTGGAGCCTTTGCCACTGTAAACTCTGGGGTCAGCTGTGGACTGAGAGTGAAGTCGTTAGCGAAACAGCGGCTGGCAGCTAATGCTCTTTCTAAGCGCCTTTAATGACTGTCATCCAAGACCAAAGTTTATCTATCTTTATTATAATCATTATATATTTTTTTTTGCATTTGTGAGATAAGCTTCCGTTTCCCTCTGCGCTGCTGAGGGGATGAAGCTGAGATTTTTCTCCTCCCGAACAGCAATCCCTCCAAAATGCCCTGTGAGTTGCTGGCACCCCCCTGAATCACCACAGAACCCAAATAATCGGCTTTGGTCTCCCTCGGTAAGTGTGGGCATTTTGAGAGGATGAAATGGTGATGTAAGACCTCCGCTGGCTGGGACGGTGACCCACGTGATGCAGGGAGGGGTTGGAGTTGGGGGTGGTGGTGGGGGAGGGGTTGCATTTAACGAACTGCTGGGGAGTAACTATTGAAAAAGACGGACGTGATGGGTATCAGGTCCGCAGAGTGCGGCCAGGTTTGGCCGTGTTGTCTAGCGTGCTAGAGACAAGCAAGAACCACCAGATGCCAATGAATAATGGGCTGGTACCCTGGTAACATTCATGCCCTCCGCCACCATGCAGTGATCTAGCCCAGGCAATTAGAAAATAAGTGTGGGCTCAAATTTAATAAATGACCTATATTAGGATGTAAATTAATATTTTTAGGCTAATTTGAAATATTTAGCCGGAGTATTTCCTAACAAAGGATGTTCTGTTTGGATGGATTGTCTGATATGGTTAAACTGCTTTGAATGACTGACTAGGGTTTTCTCCAGTTTCCCCCTGTCTACCTCAGGTTTGAATTCCATGTTCTGCTTGTGCCCAGGTGAGAATCTTCTGATTTGGAGTCACAACGTGACACCCATGTTCTGCTACAGCCCGACAGTACTGACCCGACGTGCCCTCTGAAAAACGGACCGCCGTGATCAAACCTGAGCCCTCGACGAGGCAGGCGGAGGAGGAGGAGGAGAGACCGGGGAGATGAGGGAGGCGTAAGCGGTTTCGGGGTGGGGGGGGGTTACTGTCAGGTCTCGTCAGGCTGTACTATGTTTCTGAACTGGAGCGGACCCACTGACACAGCAGTCAAGGGGCATTTGTTGGCTGGGCCTTCGGTTACCCCGGTATGCAATAGATGTTCAGGGCACTGAAACCATGAACACCTTATAATATAATATTCATCCATTTTCCACAACCATTTATCCAACGCAGGATCACAGGCGGCCTGGAGCCCATCCCAGGTAGCACAGGGACAGCTGGGGTGGAACAGAGCTCCCCACCGGGCCACTGCGTCATGCCATCACAGAGTGAGAAGCCGTGTGATGCTGCAGCGCACCTACTCTCTACACTGTGTACCTGCAGGCCGCAACACTGCTGAAACAGTATAGCTCATTAACCGTTTGAAAGAACTTTCACCATCAATTGTGCAGTTAACTTCTAGATATTAGTCAACTTAAACCTCTTCAAAGGACCAGTTTTTCCACATTTTTTGATCCATACAATTGAAGTTTGGCTAATTTAACTGAGCTGTAAACAAAAAGCTTCTCCTGTTGTCTCGTTACCAAATGCCTTCTTTTTAAATGAGCATTGAGCTTCACCAGGACCACACTGGGTATCTGAGATCAAAAAGACACAACATTTAAGAAGACATGTTATGTTTTAATCTCAGACAACATGCAACAGCTGTTTAAAATTCCACAATTCCCAGAATTCCAGCTTTGAAGCTTTCCGTGTCCGTAACTCTTATCTCTGACTCAATGCCTTGTTCTGGAAAATATCCTTGCATATTAAGGCATTTGTTTTGAAGTAAATTATCCTCAAAGGGTAAGACAGGGGATGCTATTATGCAGGAGGCAGATAAGATGAACAAGAGTAGTTAACGAGAGATAGAGCATAAGTGGAACAAGTCGCGTGTGATGCTCCTGGATTCTCAGAAGCTGATCCGCTAAGAGCTGGATATGCTAACGGATCCTGAACCTTCTCCCATCACCCGCATGAAAGGGGAGACAGCTGGTCTGGGTGTCTTACCCCAGAACTCTGCTACATTTTCTCTGTTGTCGTTTTTCATTCTTAAAGTGTCTGTTTGTGAAAAGCTGCTGATTGGTCAGTGAGTCCCATAGCTTTATGGGATAGTTACCCCTGACTGTCCATGATACATGCCCAACCTAAGGTTCAATCTTCTTCCAAGCATTTGAGTGTTGGCTTTCACCCAATGATTTCACACTTCTTAGAGCTGGGAAATTCTTTTGACCCCCTAAATTAAAGGGGGGCATGTTTTTGTTCCTGTGCATCTCCGAAAACGATGACAAGAATTGTTTCTACAGATGTAAGAGCTGACTGGGTAACATTATAGTTTGAGCACGCCATGCCCATAGTTTGGTTGTGAGAAGACTTTCACCTAATCAAATCAAATGACTTGTGTATATTGAAGTGTGCGTGTAGCTAAATAGTTAATCGTAAAAAAAGAAGTAGTTGTTCCCAAAAGTGAAATGAAACACATTTTGCATGTGATATTTGTAAATTTGTAAAAAAACAACACATGAAGTAAAGGCCTCACATGAATTAAACCAAGGGGACTCCAATTTTCATTCCAAATTTCCAGAAATGCTCCAGTAAAATTTCCCAATAAAGATACTGGCTCACGCAAGAAATGACCTGCACTGGCATTTAGCAAAGAAGGAGGGAAATAAGGAGATCACACCAGTCGTAACACAATAAAACTGTATTACACTTGTGCTTAAAATTATTACAATACAGTATGTACAAGAGTAGTCCAAAAAATAAACATTTCATGCTGTCTGACACTTAAAAAGAAATCATTATACAATAGCAAGCAAAGGAAAACAAACGTATATACAACGTCAATTCCAAATGGAAAATCAATTGGCCTTCGGGTTTTGCAAAATGGCTGCCCGCCTGAAAAGTGAACGCAAGGGACTTGTCAAACACACACAGGGGCCAATTCTCCATGGGGGGGGGGGGGGACATAGAGAAGTCACCACGGCAACAACCACGTGCGTAGGCCGGCCCACGCTGATGACATCAGGCCCCAGTATGGCTTTTCACCATGACGGTGACAGCAGTTAAATTCACGTAGTTGCGTGGGGCTCGGTTTTGTTTAAATAAAATGTTTCTTAAGACTTCCGAACTCTGCCCAGTCATTTGAGGACCAACAAAATTCCCAAGTATGTTGGAACGACGGGAAGGGAATCATAGGTAAAAAGAAGGGCAGAGCTATACAAAAAGAGAGTGAATCTCTCTCATTTCAGAGCAGAGGGAGAATTTAGACACCCCCTGTTCTGACACCCCTGTCAACCTGAGATCTTATGGTGGCTCCATCTCATGGGGGGGGGGGGGAGGGAATTCTTATTTTCTTTTCTTTTATCCTCAAACAGTGTGTAAGGGTGCTGTCCATTAGGCCTGGGTTGGGGGCGGGGGGCGGGGTGACTGGGGCTGTCCCCAATAAGGCGATTGTTGGTGCCGGGAGCTGGAGGGTTAAGGGGCTATGGGAACTGGTGGCTGGAGGTGTGTGTGTGTGTGTGTGTGTGTGTTGGGGTCGCAGCTTGAAGTCTTCATTAATACAAAAAAACTCCCCACTCAGTCCATCGTGACGTTATGGGTGCCACTGCCCAAATTCAGTCCAATATCTATAGCCATTCTATACAGCAGGTCCCCTAGGGGGTGCAGTGAAGAAGGGGTTATGTACATAGGGGAGGGGGGGTGGCTGATAAAACAGTATGAGTGCTTTCAGGGGCTGATTGCAGGCTCGTCGTGTGGTTTTCTCTTTTTCTCTTGGGGGCGAGTGGGGACAGGCCTTGGGGGGGGGGGGGGGGGGGGTGCAGGGTGGAGGCCTGACTTCAGCGAACCTGGGGAGCATAACCGTCCTTCATGAGTCCTTCTTCATAGTCTGTCTGACATAGAATCATGTTGTTCTTCAGGAAGAATTTGTCTCCCACACAAAATCTGAGAGAGAGAAAGAGGGAGGGAGAGAGAGAACACAACATTGCAAATTTAAAGCACAGGAAACAANGGGGGGGGGGGAACACAACATTGCAAATTTAAAGCACAGGAAACAAATGTCTCTTCATTAGTACCATGCTGCAGGCTTTTCTCACTGTCTAGCTCATTTTGGCCTCCCAAACAGCCCCCCCACCAACCCAGCGTTCCCGGAGCTGCATCGGAGCGCCGTTCCAACATCTCAGACCTTTTGTTCCGCCTGACGGTGGGCGAAAGTTGCACTTGACCTTTTCACCGCGGCCGAGTGGAGATTAAGTTTAAGCGAGCGCCCAGACCGGCAGTCCTGGGGGGGCTGTTTACTGTATTCGCAATAAGGGTTCAACAAGGTCTGAACGTCGGCCATACTGGTTACCTGGGGATGTCTGCCCCCCCTTTATTTGACTTTCCGCAGCATCCACCGGAGGAACACGATTTGCGTTGCTTGGGGGGGGGCAGTTTCCGTCCGTTTTAAGCAGCACGATACCCGAGCTCTACGATTCTGAGATTAAAGGCTATTATTTCCTCCTAGCGGCTGGATTAAGGGGCTTTTCACTGTGAGACTGTTTTAGGAGGAATTAAAACTTTGAGAATACCATCTGACTGCAGGGTTTCGTTCGTGGGTGCAGAGACGGCGCTCGGTGTGAATCGCAGGCAAAAGCTTTCGTTTCGTCCATGATGGGACAACTTCTTCTGCTGTGTGTGTTTTTTTTCTCTCTGAGAACTGAATGCGGCAACGTCAAATGAGCACCAGCCTGTCGTCGGGGACGACCGATGCATTCCGTTGTCACGGTGATTAAACAGAGCCATAGCCATGCTTAACATAATGGTGTCATCCCCCCTATAAAAACGATAGCCGCTCTCCCAGAATCCATTAGTGTCCGTCTTCAGCAGTGTGGTGCATCCTACCTTCCCGCTCTCCGCTAATAGGACACCATGCTGCTAACTCACTGCTTTTTTACCCCCCTTCCCACTTGTGTTTGTTGCCCCCGCATCTTATTTCCTACCCCTCAATCGTCTCTCTGCGCGGAGAAAATGTCACCGGCATCTGCAAGTTCCAGGCGACGAACAAAACAAGATTATTATTCTCAACCCATCAGGGCTCGTTCAAAAAAGCAAAAAAAAAAACAAAAAAAAACCAACAGAACAAAAGCAGTTCCTGTTTTCCTTGTTTTCCTTACAATCCTTAGTGCCCCCAACATAGCATCAATTATCGTGGGTTTTATGTATTCATTTGCCTGGAAATTAACTTACCCTGTGAATGAATCTCTTTTCCTTATAGGCCTGTACTGGATGAAGTGATGAAGGATGGATGAAGGATGGATGAATCTCTCGTCTATCCAGACAGCCATCACCTTCCTCAGTGTGGTGTTCAGAACCAGGACACGATACCAGCACAGGTCTCACCACAGGGGCTGCTGGGATATTTCACTCCCGGGACAGCTCGGGGTGGCCCCTCACAGATATATGGCGGTGTCGGCTCCTTGCCTCGGAGGCACGCTAACTAGACTAATCGGCCACTAAATAACCAGGAGCTTGTCACAAAGCGTGGGGGGGGGGGGGGAAACGTCTCCACGACACTAAATCTAATTACCATTAGTGAAGCGCTGGTTCACAAACAGTTGACCCGGTGACACCGGCGCTTAATTGTAACAGCATGTTGTTTCGGCTTCAGTTCTGCTCCCCTTCCAACCCCCCCTCTTTTTCCCAGAGCGCCGTCGGGTAATCAAGAGCGCGCTCGGCGTGTACAGCGATCACGGAAACACAAAACGAGGTACGTGGGGGGACAGGAGAGACAGCGGCGGAGAGGAATGCGCCCATCACCGTCTGCGATACCAAAGGAATGTCGGAAGGGACAGACAGCTCGGATGCGGCGGTGGGATGGCAGCAGGGAACGCCATACACGGGAATTTTGACAGGTGACCTGCTGCTGTGTCCTGAGGGAGGAAGTTAACAAGGAATGCCCAGGTAGAGGCCTAATAGATTTATTTGTGCAGAATAATGCAAGACTCGAGGCAGGATGGGACACCAGGGTCATTGCAGGACACTACGGGCGATTAGATACAGCGATCCAGGTGATTCCGAGCGGGAGAAAGCCCACATCAACATGGCAGAACGTGCCAACTCCTCAGACACACGCGGAGCCGCCGATTGAGCCCACGGCCCCGCGGGCCCTAACCACCGAGCCCGCCGATTGGCTGCAAGTTAAATGAAATTATTTTGCAGAGCGACAAACCTGCCGAGCTTATTGGGAGCCGTCAGCTCCACACGGGGGTTTTCGTGGGCCGCTCAGATACCTTCTGTTTCACCTATCAGGCGGAGTTTCAGGGCGCCGCTGATGTATCTGCTTGGGTTTGCATTGTTTTACTGCGCTGCGATTTCCTCCTGGCATTGAGTGGTGAACAGCCATTTATAATTACTCAAAAGTTAATACACAGACAGCCACAGCAAGACGGAGTTGCTCCTCAGAGTTGGATGAGCAGCTGCAGGGGACCCGAAGTGAGACTGCCGGCTATCCCAGGTGTCCCCCAGTGCCCTGTTGCCTCGCCAGGCATCCCGCAGAGATCACCCCCGGGTCCCCCGGCTGGGAAACTGGATCCAGAGTCACTTTATGGTGAGGCTGGAAGACAAGCCATTGATTATGTGTCCCCCGGGCTGATCTGTGGCTTGAGGGGTGACTCAGGTTTCATCTGGCCCATCCAGGGTCACAGGCAAGCTGGGAATGAGGCAGTGAGGGAGGAGAAGCTGCTTGTCTTGTAATCCGGCAAAGTGGAGCAGGACACGCAGGGATGCTGCTGTGCTCACGTGAGCCTCTTACTGGACCATCCTATGGAGTGTGATGTCATATTGAGGGGACACATAGTTTAAACAGTTGTGGTGCTTTATAAAGTAACTTATTCACAGAAAGAGTTATGCAGTAGTATTTAGATAATGGTCCCCATCCTTTTTAACAGTGCACGCCGCTTTTATAAAGAAATCTGGGAAGCTGGCAAGTCGTGACGGTGTAGTTTGCTGACCAGAGTTGGGGGGGCGGTTCCCCTCAGTGGTAAATTTTGGCAAGGGGGGGGGGGAGTTCTGTCACAGTCTACTGGAAATGAGGAAATATCTAGCCGATCGGCTTGTTGGTGACCCACTGATTTAGACTGCGGCACATCCTGTGCTTCCTGTAAACTGGATAAGTAGCTATGGAAGGTGGATGGATGGATGAATGAAGCAGTATGTGTTTACTTGAGGACAGGGGCGCCGTAAGGGGGAGGAAAGCTAGGACGATTCCAAGGGCCCCTGAGTGACAGGGGCCCTAAAAAATTAGGAAAATAACTGGATTGGTTTGGACTGGGGGGCCTAATATGATATGCTTTCATGGGGCCCAAAATCTCTAGCAACGCCCCTGCTTGAGGATGCTGGTGATGTGGACAGTGTATTTGTCTTCAGTCAGTCTCAGTAGGTGCGCTGATTTAAGGGAGGCATAACAGCAGAAAGAGATTAGCATGTCCAGCTACTCCTTAACGTTCCTGAGGGTGAGGTAGTGTCCTTCGTGAAAGAAAAACATGTGAAATCTCTATGCCAAAGTATTTACCAACAAAGCAGGCAGGGCGATTACGCTGCCTATGTATCTGATTGTGGTGATTTAACCTTCAAACGCAGATGCTGGGTGAAGTGACCCGCAAAAACGACGCGTAATTACACCGGTGGACCCCGACGACCCCCGCCATTTATCAGATGGTACATTCCTAATGATGATCCAAAGAGAGATCTTTCTCCTAGTCGTTAGATGGATTCGATTGGAATGTTGGGGCCTTTTAATGTTTGGCGAGGCTGAAAGGTTTTGGGGGGAGGGGGGATTGCTTGGATGTTTGGGGGGGGGGGGGGGGGGGG